GAGACTGAGATTTGAACGGATTTTGTTCAGTTATTTGATTGACTTGCTGATTACTATTCAATAAGGGACGGAAGTTTCTCCGTCAAACGGCGTCTTATCAAATCATTGCGTAAAGTTGAGTAGTAGCCGATAAACTAACAGACGAGTAGCCGATAAACTAACAGACGAAGTTTCTATGAATTTTATGTTATATAGCTCCAAATTTGACATACATTGTCACCTTGTTTTCACATAAATGCGTAAAATGTTCCTTAACTCACAATGTGTCATTTCAAGAGGACACAAAAATGCGTACAATTTTGTTTTTCAATGAAGGATGAAACCGAAAGCATCTCATCATGATTTGAAAAGGGAGGATCACAAGGTAATCCTACTTCCTCTACCTTGAACTAACATTGAGACCAAATCCGTGCTTTTAAGCAAAGCATTATTAAGATAAGGTGAATAACCTTAACATATTGAGACCAAAAAGAATGTTTATTCGCATTAATACTTTTCCAGCACTACAGAGGTCTTCTGGCCAGTTAATTTAGACGAGCAGGTTATTAATAGAGCATGCTTATCAGATAGTTATCGCTACCAGTCAACATCGTTAGTAAACCGTATGCGGGTGAGAGCTCGGAAATGTTCTTGTACGACTATATTATTTCTTAAACGTATCTATATGTCTGGAAGTAAGTTATGAATCTGCGACGTCAGCTTCATATCGCTAAAGTATAAGCAACATTAGATATGGGCTATCAATCTTTCAATAATCACAGCAAATTCGCCATACAAGGTTGTACTCAACCTTACCGTGACAAATCCATTCTCACAAATCGATCATAAATTTTCCTTACCGTACTCACCAATACGACGGCATCCTTCAAATAGCTCCGTATAAGCGTATAATCGCTATGGCGAATCTATGCAATGTTGAAAACGAAGGAAAACCGGTCGTGACATCTAGAGGTTACCTGCAATGCTAATCCGTAGGATAAAGAAACGTTTCACCTTTGTTGGAGTGCCATCGATTGGGAAATAGCAAAATTCTAGGATATTGTCATTCAAAG